TAATTCTGAAACCAGGATAAGACCCCCACCTCGTTTCATCTTATAGGCCGATCAGTTTGTTGAAAAACTGATTTTTTGGCGAATCAAAGTAATCCTGCAAGATCAGGATCTAACTCCAAACCATCAATACGGGTTAACAACAAGGTTATTACATAGGATTGTGAACATAATTTATAATATACTACATAGAAAAGAGTTATGCATTCTTAGATCTCATGAAGGTATTTGTCAAGGTCTGGCACAAGGCCTAATGTATAAAGTAAAAAGATGTCTACCTGATATTTTATTTCTATTAATAAAATTTTATTTACGAAATAGACATTTTTTGATCAGTGTAGCTGTAATACAGACTCAAATATCACTGGCATAAACGCCGGGGTGACTTAAGAGAGCATTGTCGCCCCAACATTATTCTTATCTATACAGCAGATTTTCCAATCTCAACTGACAAAACATGATACGTGTATCATCGGCAAAAACAAAGATCCATCGACAGCATCAAGCAATGTTCAGCAACATCTCAGCATAGCTGAGAAATGGTTTTCGCATATAGAAGTCAACAGCACAAAATCTATCCATGTAATATTCACGATTTGCAATCAAACATGCCCTGCAATTGAACTTAATAATGCAGTTATTTTGACCAAGGAGTCGGTGAAATATCAAAAAAATTTTATTACTGCATATAATGAAAACATAATGCTAATAATATTTTAGATATATTTTGTTTTATTTGAAGTGTGATTCCAGATGTCAAAATACGTGCTAATCTTTAATTTCATATATTTCATCTTTATCAATTAATTTGTTTAGCATGACAACAACGAAAAGACCGCCCGTAGGGTAGGACATCAAAACTTTTTTCAGTCGTCAGTTGTATCATAGACTAACAATGTCAATTTTCAGTTGAATTTTGAATGACATTTTAAATGGGCACTGTAAGAAACTAACATATTATTTATTGTGGACATTCAAATTTACATAATAATTATACGTTTGAGTTACTTACCATGATGGTCTTAATTCGGTTATAGCGTACATTAAATTCATTCATTCTAATGATAATTAGTTATGTAATCTTTTTTATCAACGCCATCTATGTCGCCGAATTCTCATTATTTAAATCTGGTAAAGTTTATGATTTATTTTCATATAAATTTTATTTAGCTATTTCGATAGTATTTGCTCTATTCATGTAGTTACACATTTTCATAATGCAAATGAGCATCGATAATAAATTCATAAACAATAAATACATCATATTGAAAAATGTCTTTACTAAAAGGGAAAAAATCGGTTCTCGTATAGATTTTAATCGATACCTTTCGGAAATAGGCGGAGTTGCTATTCACGATGATTCAGAAAATGATGAAAACTATGTTATAGGCATCAAATTACCTAAAGAAAGGAAGAAAATACCCGTATCTAAAGTGAGTCGCAGTATTGCAAATGTTTTTGGGAATTCCACAACACTACAAGATGCACAGAATAAAATCATTGCATCTTTTGTACCAGATGATATAATATATCATCTTAATGATTATTCTCATCGCTCTTATGAAATATGTTTATTATTTAGTGATGTATCAGGTTTTACTGATCTCTCAGAAAAATATAACCAACCCGGTAACGGGGGCCCATCCAGATTAACCCAGGTATTGAATACATATATTGGATCTATGGTACAGGAAATTCTATCTCACGGAGGTGATATTTTTAAATTTTCGGGAGACGCTTTTCTAGCTTTTTGGAAAGTTCGTAAAAGTCTTCCTATGCAAGAGGCCGTCCACGAAGGGATGGATTCAGCATTAATTATTCAGAAGAGATATGGTCAATATGCAACTGAGGTGGGCGTGACATTGCGGGTGAAGTTAGCGATTTCTGCAGGAAAGGTTGAAATAGCTTTGATAGGAACGGAAAAAGAATCACATTACTTAATAGCTGGACAACCTGTGTGGGATGCAAAAAATGCCGAAAAGCTAAGCAGTGCAGGTGAGGTTGTTTGTTCGCCATCTGCTTGGCAATATGTGAATCCAAGTGAATATGTTCACGAATTTAAAAAAGATAATAAACATTGTAGTGTTATGGGGTTCGGTTCACTTTGGCATGCTACCGGCGCTCAACGAACAAGCGGAGTAGATGATGATGATCAAGCGGATCAAACAACGGATATTATTATAGACACTACTGAAACCAGACGAGATTTAGATACAGATCGATTTATGATACGGCCAGCAGTTCATTCAGCAACCAGATCTGAAGTTAGGGATGGACTACGACGTTTTGTGCTTCCTCCCGTTATGAATGCGATAGATAACAACCAGCCTATGGACCACTTAACGGAAATGCGGCAAGTTGTTATCATGTTTATAAATATAGTGCCTGTAAGTATGCACCCCAGCAAAAGATTGATAAATCTGACCCACCAATGTTATGTTACAATTTGCGATATAATTAACGAATTTGAAGGTGGAATTGTAAACAAAGCATCCTTATTTGACAAAGATTTAATGATGGTAGTAATTTTTGGCTTGCGAGGATTTATAAAAGAATTTCAGAATCAAACAGCTTTAAGAGCAGGGGCAGAAATTCGTAAACGCATTTCACAGTTTAAAGATCAAAAGTCTGTATCAGTTGCAGTTACAACGGGTATGTCATATTGTGGTGTGGTAGGTCACACATTGCGCAGAGAATACAGCGTCATTGGTATGGTAGTGAATAAAGCAGCAAGACTCATGGTTGCCTACCCAGATATGGTTTGTTGTGATAAAGATACATTCATATTAAGTAAGATGGAATCAAGAAACTTCACGTTATTAAGACATAAAGAACTAAAAGGATTACATGCTGTAGGACCTGTATATGCATTTAATGAAATAATAAGAGATGAAGACTCAACCAGAATCGAACTGTGTAAATTTCCGATTCTTGGTTGCGATTACTTAATGAGGCATTACTTTGATGTTCTCTTGCGATACACTGAAGTGTATAAGCAAGTTCAATATAAATGGGATCCAGATGTTATTATCCAAAATGTATTAATATACAAAGGGGCTGCAAGGCAGGGCAAAACGAGATTATTAGATGAATTATTTTACTTAACGCCACAAAAATATAACTCAAGAAGGATAAATTTGTTTCCTCAAAATCAAAAAGTACCATTTTCTGCAATTTTTTTATCCGTCGGTGGAATTTTGGGTATCTATCCAAAAGAAACTGCTAAGCAGCGCGAAACACAAATTTTTAAATTGTTAGCGAAGATAAAAGTGAATGAATTATTATGTTCGTTGAATGAGGTGTTCAACGTTAATTTTGAAATGTCAAACATATTTCTTAATTTACCATATGATAAGAAGAATGAAGTTCGAATTGCACTATTCAAACATTTAATTCTCTCTATATCTTCATCACTGTGGGTTTTAATTATTGATAATTTAGAATATATGGATGAAGAATCATTGATGCTTTTTATCAATATATTTGAAAGTAATGCTTTTTTTTGCACTGGGACTTTGGGAAACCGTAGAGATATATCTGATCTAGCGGCTAGTGTATTAAATCACCCACGGGTCGTAACAGTAAAAATGCCCAAAGTTGATAATTGGTATCATGCTGCTCTTGCATGCCAAATGCTCGAAGTATCTGCAATTCCTTTAGAGCTAGAAAAAATAATACAAACACATAGTGGTGGAAATCCCGGTTGGATTGAAAGTTTTATGTTATCACTTATCCAATCAGGTGGATTAAACTTACAAACTATAAGAGAAAGAGAAGTAATATCACAGGGTCTCGTCATACCACCATCGGAGCAGATGATAAGACAGTCTACACAGGACATTTTGAAAAAATTGGATAGTATTGGTTTTGGTTTGAGCCGTGTTTCGTTTGGTTGGGAGATGTATAACGGCACATTTCGGACAAGTGACGTAGAAATTGAAAATAGGGAAGATACTACAAGCTATGGAGTACATTTTATTTCAGTAGTTTTACTGCCTCCAAATTTCAAAATGGAAATGTTCATCACTGATGTTGGCATGGATCTCCTTATTCTAATGAACTTTGATTCGCTGAATGTTTTCGAACAATTGATCTGTAAAATTGGAGCAGTAATAGGAGAATCATTTCACAGAGAGATATTAAAGTATGTTGTAGATAATGATGATGAATATGCTTTAGCAAGTTCAATTAAAAAGTTATTTGAAATAAAGGTCTTGTATTGCGCAAGTGGGGATTCTGCTTCTAGATCAAGTAGTGAACATGATAAATTAATATGTTATTGTGAAAATATTAAAATTTTGGCGCCTGAGTTACCAAGTTTTGCATATTGCGAATATATGATGTTTAGAATGCCAGCTTTTCGTGAGACAATTTATAGCATAATGACTGATCGACAAAGAAAAGATTCTCATAAACGCGCTTTCAATTTTTTAGAACGAGAAACTAAACGATGCAGAAGTTGTGGTGGTGGTTTCTTTCTTAAAATTCTGGGAGGCCGTTTAGCAGATAGATTGCATTCTCGACGGATATTGTCGAAACGGGCACAAATATCATATGCACAATGCAAGAGAAGAACGTCAAAGCTCTCCGCGTTTGTTCACAAAGAAATATATAGTCAAATTGATAATCTTGATGAAATTGCTTGGAATAAGTTTTACGGTGATAAAATAAAGGTATCCGGTAATTTATGGGGTTTCGTTAGACGAAAATCGAGGCAGACTGCGCAGACGGCTGTTGAAACTTTTCCTAGCTTTGATTTTAATAATTGTGAGTGTTCTCTTATACTAATGTCAATGTACGGCGAAATGCTTGATCATTGTAAGGGAGCAGAAATGCATGATATTATAATGGATGTTTACGTTGAGTTTGCGGTCGTTTGTATATCATCCGGAAATTTAATACAAGCGATGGCTCTTCTTACAAGAGCTGCCAAAGCATTAGATGATAATTATTCGGACATGAGTAGTGAAATCGAATGGAAATACAATACTATACTAGGAAAAATAAATTCTTTATTGGGTAAGTGTTATCTAAATCTCGGACAGATTGAAAAGGCTTACACAAAGCTACATGAAGCTTTAAATAATTTTGGTTATAATATTCCTTTAACCAAAATGGCTGTTGTAACGTCGACCCACTTCAAAAGAATGCAGCTTAGATTAATTGTGGATCGTGCATCTCACAAAATTGGAAAATTAGAAGACTATTCTGCTTTATTTTGTGATATTGTAGCTGAATGTTTATGTTCAATGTGTGAGATGTTTATTTCATTGAATATATGGTATATAGCTGATTTAGCGGCTACTTGGGCATTACTTATGGCGATTAGATCTGATAAGGATTTCAACACTATCTGTGTGGCTTACCTTAGCCTTATGGATGTGTCGACATATTATGGAAGGCATGAATTTATTTGGTGGCTGGAAAAAAATGTCCTTGCCATGATTAGTCAGAAGCAAGTTACTGGATTTGTAAATAATGATTTGAATGTAGTATGCAGAGTATATTATAGAATATTTATATCTCGCCTCGGAAGATGTGAATTAATAAATGCTATTGATATGGGATATAAAACTAAAAATTTATCAGTCCGTGTACAACCATTCAGCATTAGATTACAAGTATTGCCCCTACTAATTAACTCTTTAATTGCAAGAATACGCCTATCTGAAGCCGCAGAGTTATTAGAGGTTCTAAGAGATGTAGCAAAAGAAGATTCTGATAATTCGGCAATGTGCTGGTATTATGCGTTGTGCTTAGACATGGCTTTAGATACAGGATATGCGATTGAAACATACACTGAGAGCAAAGAATTCTATACAGATGAATGTGAATCACTTTTGTGCTCAAGAGATCCAGATAGTGAACTTGCTTTTTATTCGGCAATGTGGTTGTGGTGTATACGCATTTCCGAGTGGGAAGCGATGTCAACTTGGGAACGGAAAATACGTCAAAAATTTGATTTGAACTCTTACCAAGGTATTGCCAATACTAAATCGATGATAAAAGTTCTAGAAGGTTTTATTTCGAAATTGGCGCTAGCTGTACAAAGTAAAGATTTTGCTGAAATACATCGTTCTAAACAAATTATTAAAGTATTGAAAAATGCAATAGCAAAATCGGTTAAAAGAGTACAATGCGAACGCATGCGATTTAGTATGATGTTGGCCTACTTGAAAAAAGTAAAACGTAAAGATAATGAAGCTATTAAATTGATGCATAAATGTCGAGACTTGTGCATACAAAATCAACATAAATCTATGCTTATGATTTGCGATCACCAAATTCAATATTGGAAAGGCACCCTACCGCCAAAAATGGTTGATCTTTGGACGAAAATTTTTAGCTCAAACAAAAAAGCATATTTCAGACCGTCAGTAACAGATGTTATTTGTTATACATTACGTCTTCCAAACTATTAAACTCTAATTAAACGCCAATATATATATATATATATATATATATATATATATATATATATATATATATATATATATATATATATATGTCATCAATTTATAATATTGTGAATAATAACAAAGTACTAAAAGTAAAGAAAAGAACGAGCATTTTTATTATCTTTAATAACTTTATATTTTATTTTCATTTAGAGATTGAGATTCGAATTGTAATCAAATTATGGTGACTTGAGAAATATTTCTTAATACATATATCCACTTAATACAAATTTATTAGCACCAAAGTAATAACTAGATGAGGTAGAAAGAAATCCATTTTTTTGCAATAGTTGGTTTCAATTGCGTTGTATATGTCCGATCGAGTTCTACTAGGTGGCGTTAGAAAGATGAAAGATGAAATTTCATGCTAAAAGAAACTATTTGTTCACAGTCGGTAGTTGACTTCGAAAGGTGCATCATGGACCTTGTCCAAACTTTGTGGACAGGTATTGGGTCGCCCGCCCGATATCAATATATTTTTATGCGCCGAATTAGGTACAACAATAGCTGAGGCTATGAATAAGTATTACTCTGATAACGAGAGTAATGAAGAATTTTTTATATTGAAGAATTATATTGTATAATCAAAAAGTTATTAGTGTTAAATCTAGGGGTAAAAAAGTAAGCAGTGGTATATCAAAAATTAAACCTGGAAATAATTTAAAAATGAAGGCCAATATGCGTGTAAATAAAAGTGGTGTGCAAAGGCGTATCAATAATAGCAGCGATGGTGATTGTGGAATAAACAGAATAATTTAAGAAGTTACTAATGAAGAGTTAAATATGATAAAAACGACTGGAGAAACAATTATTAAGTGCAACGAACATAGTAATATAATAATGCATAATGACGAAATAAAATTAATAGAAAATAACGTAAACTGTAGCCCTAACAATAATGAGATTATATTAATGGAAAACAATAATGAGATCATATCAATGGAAAACAATGTGGTCTATGCTACGGGATCGATGGACATAACAGCGGTTAACGAATCTAACAATCATTAAAATGTTGATATGCGACTGCGATTTAAAAGTTGCGACACAGGTTCGTACTATATCTACATCGAATCAAGAAATAAAAACATCAGGCGGTTACATCTGATGCCGATTAGAAAAATGATTCACAGGTCATTTCCAAATTTGAAAGAAGACCTGTTAGACGTATTAGTGCTCGGAAATAGTAAGGTCAAAATGGTATTGAGTAACGGTAATGTGGCAAATAGGTTATTCGATAAGCAATTATTCAATAAAAACGACTTAATAGCACATATACCAAACTACCTATTAAATAGAAAAAGAATTATTTTTGATGAACACACCGAACACACAGAGGACGATATCAAAAGTTAAATCGTATCGGAAAGTACAATAATTGGCGTAAAATGTTTAACACCAAAAAATACTAATATACATAGATTTAAATCGCAATGCATTATACTTATTTTCAGAGGACCTAAAATTACAGATAAGATAGCGATACACTCAATCAAATGTCCGGTCAGACCGTATGTAAAAAAGGTTATGTAATGCCTAAAGTACTGGTGCTTTGAACATATTAAAGCCCAATGCCGCGGGGAGAAAATGTGCCCCAAAAGTGCAAGACCACCCAATACTAATTCGTGCACAAGTAATTTGGATTATATGTGTTGTCTTTGTGGCATCGCAAAATTTTCATGCAATTCACGAATCAAAATCGATTTTAGAAAATGATAGATATGCTAGGAAAACTAAAACTACTTTGAACATAATAAATAAGGATAAAGAATTTTTAGCTATAAATAAAGCAAACAAAAATTCGAATTTACTTTTTGCCAATAATAGATTATGACAGCAAAAACCTTTTCAGAAAACCCAGAATATCTTATATACCAGCTGCAATTATTAAGAAGAAAAAAGAAGGAAGCACGATGTATAAATTCGATCAAATGCCTAGTCATAACGGTGTTCGGAAGCAAAATTTAATTAATCTAAGGAAAAGATTGTAAAATAATTCTGAATTGGAGCCCGATAGTGACGCTAACTATAATAATAAAAGCGAGCACTCAGAACAGCAAGAGTTTTTGAATATTTTCATTAGTCAATTAAGAAACATATACTAGCTGTAAGTGGAATTCTGTCTTAAGGCAATTAGGGCATCGTGCCTTAAGGCAAATTGCTGAAACTTCCCGTACCAAAAATTATTATTTTTTTTTAAAACGATTAACATTTTTGAAAAAAAATTACTTTGAAAAAATAAGATTTTTGAGAAACTATAAATTGGACAAAAAATTAGTTTTTTTTGAAAAAAAAAAATTTAAAAAAAAAATATTTTTTTTACAAAAATTTTTTTTTTTGAAAAAAAATTTTTTTTTCTTTATTTTGACATATTGTGGAAGATCTGAACTTTTTTTTCAAAGCAATCGTACTGCTTTAACTACATAGGGACAAAATATAAAGCGCGTAAGCGCCGCGTCGCTGTCTAACGCATAAGCATTGGTACGGAACCGATAGGAATGTTAACAAAATGTATACTTATTGTTAAAATCTCTATAAAATGTCTGATAATTTGATGTGCATATGTCTAATGATCATTTTTGACCGCCAAATGGCTCATTTTTTTACTTTTTCCTCTATATCTCCGAAACCGCTAGACCTGCCCTCATGAAAATTTGATCAATTCTTCATCTTGTCAATACAAATAAAATGTTTTTTGAATTATTAAAATCGGACGCTCCGTTCTCTTAAAAACTGAGTTACCGTTTTCGGAACTTTTTGCCCCGTATCTTCGGAACGGCTTGACCTGCCTTTGCCAAAAACTAATCAGCACGTCTCCTTATCAATACGGATCGAATGTTTTTTGAATTATTCAAATCGGTTGATCCGTGTTCCTGAAATCGTCGACGAAAATTTGTATCCGCACATACATACACACACATACATACATACATACATACACACACACACACACACATACACACACACACACACACACACATACATCCATTTTTTCTAAGGTATGCCAAAATGTTCAGAAACCTCTGAAACGTAAAGATATATAAAAATTTTCATTTTCGATTTTTTTGCGATTACTATAACTTGCCCTACGGGAAGTTAATAATCCGAGCGAACTATACTTTGACAAATTGTTAACCGAAAATATTGAAAAAATACAACATAAGGATAAAAATATATTTCTTACAGAAAAGGAAGACATTGCGGAGTATCTCAACAAACATTTTGCTGAGATAGGTATGAAACTACAAAAAAATGGATCATTGCAACTATAAACCTTCAATACACAGACCTAAAAACAAAATCCAACAATTAACATCGATAAAACAAAACACATATATTTCAAACATAGAAAAAATACTGAGTACACTAAACTGAAAATTAAAGTAAATAATAGAGAAATAGAGGACTGATAACAAATGAAAAACTGACATCGACAGAACATATAAACAAAATAAAAAGAAAGATAGGAACATTAACATTGAAAAGGATCCACTCTTTCGGCAAAAAAAATAAAATACTAATTCTTAAAACGCAAATATTACCTATAATTTTATATGGAATAACAACATGGAGCCAAACAACTAAAGCTAACCTAAATGACATACAGAGAATAATGAATAAAGCCTTAAAAATAGCATATAACTTTCCACATCTAACACCCACCAAATACTTACAGAGAGAAACAAATAATCATTCACTAAATAACATAATTAAAATAGAGAAATGCAAACTAATACACAAAATGAAATTTAAACGAATTAAAACAAGTGCAACAATAGGCATAAATCAAGATATACATGAACACTACACTAGACAACACAACAATTTTCACATTGAACACAATAGAAAGAAGAATTTGAGAGAAAATGTCATATGGAGTGCTAGCAAAATATATAACGATAATTTTAAAAGAAAAATAAAGAAATACTATAAGGAAATTAAGGACAAAGAAGACTGAAGAGTTATATATAAAGATATTTTAATTATAATAGATAATATATTAATGAAATAGTCAAATGAAATGTATATATAAAATATGAAAACTCTTTTTCATAATCTCTCATACCACTGAGCTCAATCTCTCTGGCTGACTGAGATATGAAAATAATGTATATATGAAAATAAATAAAATAAAAAAAAAAAAATTAGGTAAATTGATAAACATTAAAAGTATGGTGATAGACTAGTGATAAAATACTATAATCGTGATAGAAATAAAAAAAAACTATTATAATTTATTAACTTCCCGAAAGAGAAGTTTATGTTTTCATAAAGAAAAATCGATTTGAAAATTTTATGTTTTCCCGACGTTTTAAACCATTCTGAATCGAATGAGACCAAATTTGGAAAAAATATGTGTGTGTGTGAAATATTTTTTGCCGTAAATCGACATTTTCTCAAAAACGGCTGGACCTATTTCAAAAATTTAAAAGTCATTCGATGTGTCTCGATGAGGAAAATTTTTCGTTCATGATTTAACCCGCAATTCTGAATCGATATTGCAAACTGTTCGAAAGACGCCTGAATCGATTTCAGAAATTTAAAAGCTATCACTCATAAATTAATTTATTTTTTATTAACTTCCCGTAGGGCAAGTTATAGTAATCGCAAAAAAATCGAAAATGAAAATTTTTATATATCTTTACGTTTCAAAGGTTTCTGAACATTTTGGCATACCTTAGAAAAAATGGATGTATGTGTGTGTGTGTGTGTGTGTATGTGTGTGTGTATGTATGTACGTGTGTGTATGTATGTGCGATTCGTATTGATAAGGAGACGTGCTGATTAGTTTTTGGCGAAGGCAGGTCTAGCCGTTCCGAAGATACGGGGCAAAAAGTGCCGAAAACGGTAACTCAGTTTTTAAGAGAACGGAGCGTCCGATTGGAATAATTCAAAAAACATTTCACTTGTATCGACAAGATGAGGAATCGATAAAATTTTCATGAAGGTAGGTCTAGCAGTTT